GGATGGATGGATGGATGGATGGGTGGGTGGCTAGAAAGATGGATGATGGATGGGTGGATGATTGGGTGGGTGGATGGATGGATGGATGGGTGGGTGGATGGATGGATGCATGGATGCATAGATGGATGGGTGGATTGGTGGGTGGATGGATGGATGGATGGATGGGTGGATGGATGGGTGGGTGGCTAGAAGGATGGATGATGGATGGGTGGATGGATGGGTGGGTGGGTGGATGGATGGATGCATGGATGGTGGATGGATTGATGGGTGGATGGATGGATGCATGGATGATGGATGGATAAATTAATGGTGGATGGATGGATTGTGGATGCATGGATAGATGGATCAATGGATGGATGGATGGATCAATGGATGGATGGATGCATAAATGAATGGATGGATGGATGGTGGATGGATGGATGGATACATGGGTGGATGGATGGACAGATGGATGGATGGACGGATGGCGAGCACGTGCAGACAGGGAGCTGTGTGTCAGTGCTGGCAGAGACACAGCCTGGTGCCGCCACTGGAGAAGGGACACTTTGGTGCTTTCTTACAGAGCCCGACACACCCTCATCACGCAACCCAGAGATCACGCCCCTGGGCATCTATTCTGTGGGACCACAGTGGGGCTTCCATGTCGTTGTGCATTTGCCCAAAGCTGTGGAATGTGCACCACTGTGCATAAACCCCCGTGTAAACGAGACTCTGGAGTCTGTGTGGTGAGGACGTGTGCAACCTCCTTCACCAACTGTACTCTTAGTGGCTCAGTCGACCACATGTGGGACTCTTCATGTCATGACCTTGCGTTTCATGGGTTCAAACCCCACGTCGGGCCCTGTGCTGACAGCTCGGAGCCTGGAGCTGCTTCGGATTCTGTGTCTCCCTGTCTGTGCCCCTCCCCCAGTCACGCTGTGTGTCTCTCTCTCAGAAATAAATACAAATATTTTTAAGAATGAATAATTAGTAAAATAAAAACGTTGCAATCATAGGGAAAGCACGTTAGGAAGCTAAAACATCTCAACTTTGACAAAACTGAAACCTGGGCTTCTGTGTTGGTGATGAAATGTAAGCATCTAAAAAATGACTGGAAAGGTAAAAACAGGCAGGTCCCATCTACCCCAGGCTTGCAGAGCTGGGCTCTGGGCTCTGCTTTCATCTTCATGTTAAAGGCACGGCTCAGTTGGCTGAGCATCCGACTCTCGACTTCGGCTCAGGTTGTGACCTCAGGGTCTGTGAGTTCGAGCCCCGCGGGGGGCTCTGTGCTGACAGCTCCGGGCCCGCTTGGGATTCTCCCTCCGTCCGTCTCCCTGCACCTCCCTAGTGCTTTGCTCTCTCTCAAAATAAATACATAAACATCTTTAAGAAAATAAAATAAAAGGTAAAGGCAACCAGAGAGAACTGAAATGTTGGGCTTTCTGCTCGTTCTTGAGGGTAACGAACGCCAGGCACCTGCATGGCCCCTGAGCGCCGAGGCCGCATGGAGTTTCTACAGACAGGAAAGACCCATGTCAGGGGGAGTCGAAACCCAACCTCAGGAAACTCCGGGGGCTGATGGCAGGGGGGAGGCACGTGGATGCAGGCGGGTGAGGGATCCAGGCAGGTGAGGGACCCAGACAGGGTGGGGGACCCAGGCAGGTGAGGGACCCAGGCAGGTGAGGGACCCAGGCCGGTGAGGGACCCAGACAGGTGAGGAACCCAGGCAGGTGGGGGACCCAGGCAGGTTGAAGGACGCAGGCAGGTGAGGGACCCAGGCAGGTGAGGGACCCAGGCAGGTGGGGGACCCAGGCAGGTGAGGGACCCAGGCAGGTCGGGGACCCAGGCAGGCTGAGGGACCCAGGCAGGTGGGGGACCCAGGCCGGTGAGGGACCCAGACACAGGAGGAACCCAGGCAGGTGGGGGACCCAGGCAGGTTGAAGGACCCAGGCAGGTGACGGACCCAGGCAGCTGAGGGACCCAGGCAGGTGGGGGACCCAGGCAGGTGGGGGACCCAGGCAGGTGAGGGACCCAGGCAGGTGAGGGACCCAGACAGGTGAGGGACCCAGACAGGTGAGGGACCCAGGCAGGTTGAGGGACCCAGGCAGGTGGGGGACCCAGGCAGGTGAGGGACCCAGGCAGGTGAGGGACCCAGGCAGGTGAGGGACCCAGGCAGGTGAGGGACCCAGGCAGGTGAGGGACCCAGGCAGGTGAGGGACCCAGGCAGGTGAGGGACCCAGGCAGGTGAGGGACCCAGGCAGGTGAGGGACCCAGGCAGGTGAGGGACCCAGGCAGGTGAGGGACCCAGGCAGGTGAGGGACCCAGGCAGGTGAGGGACCCAGGCAGGTGAGGGACCCAGGCAGGTGAGGGACCCAGGCAGGTGAGGGACCCAGGCAGGTGAGGGACCCAGGCAGGTGAGGGACCCAGGCAGGTGAGGGACCCAGGCAGGTGGGGGACCCAGGCAGGTGGGGGACCCAGGCAGGTGAGGGACCCAGGCAGGTGAGGGACCCAGGCAGGTGAGGGACCCAGGCAGGTGAGGGACCCAGGCAGGTGAGGGACCCAGGCAGGTGAGGGACCCAGGCAGGTGAGGGACCCAGGCAGGTGAGGGACCCAGGCAGGTGAGGGACCCAGGCAGGTGAGGGACCCAGGCAGGTGAGGGACCCAGGCAGGTGAGGGACCCAGGCAGGTGAGGGACCCAGGCAGGTGAGGGACCCAGGCAGGTGAGGGACCCAGGCAGGTGAGGGACCCAGGCAGGTGAGGGACCCAGGCAGGTGAGGGACCCAGGCAGGTGAGGGACCCAGGCAGGTGAGGGACCCAGGCAGGTGAGGGACCCAGGCAGGTGAGGGACCCAGGCAGGTGAGGGACCCAGGCAGGTGAGGGACCCAGGCAGGTGAGGGACCCAGGCAGGTGAGGGACCCAGGCAGGTGAGGGACCCAGGCAGGTGAGGGACCCAGGCAGGGTGAGGGACCCAGGCAGGTGAGGGACCCAGGCAGGTGGGGGACCCAGGCAGGTGAGGGACCCAGGCAGGTGAGGGACCCAGACAGGTGAGGGACCCAGGCAGGGTGAGCGACCCAGGCAGGTGGGGGACCCAGGCAGGTCGGGGACCCAGGCAGGTGAGGGACCCAGGCAGGTGAGGGACCCAGGCCGGTGAGGGACCCAGGCAGGTGAGGGACCCAGACAGGTGGGGGACCCAGGAAGGTGGGGGACCCAGGCCGGTGAGGGACCCAGGCCGGTGGGGGACCCAGGCAGGGTGAGGGACCCAGGCAGGTGGGGGACCCAGGCAGGTCGGGGACCCAGGCAGCTGAGGGACCCAGGAGCCGGGCGCAGGTGTCTGACGTGTCCCGCGCTGTGTCTGCAGCCGCTCGTACTCCCCACACGGCGCCTACGCGCAAAGCAAGCTGGCCCTCGTGCTGTTCGCCTACCACCTGCAGAGGCTGCTGGCCGCCCGCGGGAGCCCCGTGACCGCCAACGTGGTGGACCCCGGGGTGGTCGACACGGACCTGTACAGACACGTCTTCTGGGGCACGCGTCTCGTCCAGAGGGTGCTTGGCTGGTGGGTATTCAAGGTAAGCCTCCGGCGCTCGCCTCGCGGTTCCCGGGCGGCCGCTGCGCCCGTCGGGCGGGCGGGGGTGGGAGCCGGGGGTGCTGCCTTTGCGCGGAGCCGACACTGGACTTGGGTGGGGGGGCACCCGGCTGCGCTGCACGCATTTCGCAATCGAAGTCTGGTCGGCGTCAGAATGTGGTTTCTTTGTCTCGCGTCTGCTTCCTGGGTCCCTGGAGACCCTTGCGCTCTGGGAGGGCGTGGGGAGGGGTCGCCTTGAGCCTCCCAAAGTGGATGCACGTGTGCTTTGGGGTCCGCCTTCCCCCTGCTTCTGGACTGGGGCGTCCTCTGCACCCCTGTCTGTGTAAGGAGCCTCCTCTCTCTGCGTCCCTCGGCGTCCTTACCTGGGCTCATGGGCACCACCCGGATGCGCCCGGTGCCCCTCGGCTCACGCCAGGGCCTTGGCTCGCAGCCGGGACCCTCCCAGTCTGAGGGAGTCACGTGGGGCCCTGGCGGTCACGGAGGGCCCGTGACGTGGGCCCACCTTATTCTAGTCTATTCTAGTCTATTCCATTCCATTCCATTCCATTCTATTCTATTCTATTCTAATCTAGTCTAGTCTAGTCTATTTATTCTATTTTTTCTATTCTATTCTATTCCTTCTATTCTATCCCATATTATTCTATTCATTCTATTCTATTCTATCCCATATTATTCTATTCTATTCTATCCTATCCTATCCTATTCTATTCTAGTATATTCTTTCTATTCTTTCTATTCTATTCTATTTATTTTATTCTATTTTTTCTATTCTATTTTGTTCTTTCTATTGTATTCTATTCCTTCTATTCTATCCCATATTATTCTATTCATTCTATTATTTCTATTCTATCCCATATTATTCTATTCAATTCTATCCCATATTATTCTATTCTTTCTATTCTATTCTACTCTTTGTTTTCTAGTCTATTCTATTTCTATTCTATTCTTTCTATTCTATTTTAGTCTATTTATTCTATTCTTTCTAGTCTATTCTATTCCATTCTTTCTATTCTATTCTAGTATATTCTTTCTAATCTATTCGGGTCTATTCTTTCTATTCTATTCTATCCCATATTATTCTATTCTTTCTATTCTATTCTATTTCTATTTCTATTCCATTCTTTTTATTCTATTCTAGTATATTCTTTCTATTCCATTCTAGTCTATTTTTTCTATTCTATTCTTTCTATTCTATTCTATTCTATTCTATTCTATTCTATTCTATTCTGTTGTGTTCTGGATGTCCAGCCTTCCCAGTCTGCGTTTGCCAAGTGCTGTGACGACCAGCTATATCCAGCTTCGTTTTTCGTACAATTCGGTTGCTGGTCCCATTACCCCCATAAACAGTCATCATCATCACAAAAACTAACATGCAGCCCATCTACGTCTGTGTTTTTAAATTTACGTGTTTTTGTTTGTTTGTTTGTTTGTTGTGTGTTTTTTTGTAAATGATCAGTGAGATCCTCTATTTAACGGACAGGAATCTAGCTCCTCGGTACAATCACTTGCTCATTTCCATGATCCTGTTTCTGTGAGGGACGCTGGCCCCGCCGTGGGACGCAGGCACATCCGGCGGCTTCTGGATTCTTAGCAGAGGCGGGGAGGGTGGTGTTCATTTCCTCCTCAGCACGGAGTCACAAGATCACAGGCGACCAGGTCCAGGATCATGGGGGGCAGGGCGCGTGCCTCCAGGGACAGTAATTGCTGTGAACTGCCCGCCTCTGGGCTCTCCCGGGACCCGCGCCTTGAGCCACCAGCAGAGCCCAGATTCCGTCGAATGGGAATTACCATGCACAGTGGGGGTGCATGACCCAGGATCCTTTCTTGGCGTCAGACTCATGGCTGTGGAATCACAGAGACCCCATCTGTGGCTCTACCCACCATCCGAATCCCCCTTTAGGAACGTGGCTTCTTGAGTGCATTATTTGTTCACGTCCTTTGCCATTTTCACACCAGGAGACGCTGGTTCAGAAAAAAATTCTGCACAATTGGGCAGATTTTTTTTTTCTTTTTTACAAATAGTTTATTGTCAGCTTGGCTTCCATATAACACCCAGTGCTCATCCCCACAAGTGACAATTGGGCAGATTTAAGCATGTGCCTCCTGTGTCCCCGTCCCCAAATTTATTGCGACTTGAGGCCTCACATGTAAACCAAGATGGAGCCAAAGGTGTGAAAATGTGTGGAGTTTGGTTTTGTCGTGTTGGAACTGTGTGGTTTGTGTGCTGATGTCATGTTTACAGATACCACCCCCCTCCCCCGTCACGTTTTTGCTTGTTAGAACGAGTTCCTCCTTCAGTCTGGAAGGTGCTTGAAAGGAGCCATACTTTTGATGGCTCGCAGTCCCACCCGTGTGTCCGGAAGCCCCTCCTTCACCGCTGATCCTGGAGACGAAGGCTCTCGTTTCCTACATCCCTGCACGTGGCAGCTCTGTGTTCTGAATTCACTCTTCTGCTCCCACAGGGCCTCCCCGAGGGCCCATTTCCACACCTCCCCTCTCTCTGCCCCTTCCCTCTCTGTGTGTTTGTTTCCAGACCAGCTTTTAGATCACTGGCAACCTGAAGAAAACACAATGGATGATGAGCACATATCTGTGTATTTACTCAGTGGTCCTGTCTTTCTATGTTTGGGCTGTTGCCAGCTTTTTACAGTAAGGACAGAGTGAAATAGGGTAGAATAGAGCAGAATAGGATGGAATAGAATGGAATACAGTAGCATGGGTTAGAATCAGGTAGATTGGGGGGCGCCTGGGTGGCTTAGTCGGTTAAGCGTCCGACTTTCGCTTAGGTCATGATCTCGCGGTTCGTGGGTTCGAGCCCCGCGTCGGGCTCTGTGCTGACTGCCAGCTCAGAGCCTTGAGCCTGTTTCAGTCTGTGACTCCCTCTCTCTGACCCTCCCCTGCTCACACTGTCTCTCTCTCTCTCCTAGAAATAGATAAAACACACAAAAAAAATTTAAAAAAATAAAAGCACAACTTTCGGGGCGCCTGGGTGGCTTAGTCGGTTAAGCGTCCGACTTTCGCTCGGGTCATGATCTCGCGGTTCGTGGGTTCGAGCCCCGCGTCGGGCTCTGTGCTGACTGCCAGCTCAGAGCCTTGAGCCTGTTTCAGTCTGTGACTCCCTCTCTCTGACCCTCCCCTGCTCACACTGTCTCTCTCTCTCTCCTAGAAATAAATAAAAATATTAAAAAAAAAAAAAAAGAATCAGGTAGATTGGGATGGGATGCGATGGGGTGAAATGGAATAGAATAGACTAGAATAGAATAAATAGAATAATATGGGATAGAATAGAATAGAATAAAATGGAATAGAATAGAAGAATAGAATAGAATAGAATAGAATAACATGGGATAGAATAGAATAATATGGAATAGAATAGAATAGAATAAAATGGGAGAGAATAGAATAATATGGGATAGAATAGAATAATATGGGATAGAATAGACTAGAATGAATAGAATAATATGGGATAGAATAGAACAGAACAGAACAACACACTACGACAGGGACTGAGGGCCTGCAGGACACAGTCAGGTCGTGTAATGGAGGCTAAGACCTGTAAGAAGCCGATGGACGTCGAGACTGCACATGCTGACGTTTGCTGTCTGACAATACCTTGTCTTTCCTTCGCTGGTGCCTTTCCTGATGCTGCCGATTCCGTGATTTATAATAAAAATACGTGTTTGGACTCCGTCCCTGTCTGGCAGGCGGCTCCTTAAACCCTTGGGATTTCCGGTGAGGAGAGCAATAGACTTGTCTTTTGTTACGTGAATGAGGGGACTTTTAAGAAGCCCCTTAGGTTGGGGGCCGGTTAACAGGTGAACCAACCACGTGGTTAGATGTGTGGCACTTTCTGCCCTGCCCTCTGACCTCCGGGGAGGGGAGGGGGCTGGAGTTAGAGTCAGTCCCCTGTGGCCCATGAGCTAATCAGTCACGTCTACATGGCGAAACCTCCCTAAAGTCCCTAAAGGACCGGGTTTGGAGAGCTTCTGTGTTGGTGAGCGCGTGAAGGTTTGGGGACAGAGGTGCACCCGCCGAGCCCACGGAAACTCCACACGCCTTCCCCACCCCCGCCCCCGTGTGTCTCTTCATCTGGCTGCTCCTGACTTAGACCTTTTATAGTATGCCCGTGATGTAGGGAAGGACGTGTTTCCCCAGCTCTGTGAGCCGCTCTAGAAGATGAATGGCGCCCGTGCAGGGGTTTGGAGGAACCTCCATTCTACGGACCAGTGACCCCCTCAGTTTGGGATTGACGTCTGCAGTTGGGGGGACAAGGGGCAGTCTTACCCCGCGGGATCTGATGCCACACCCAGGGAGAGTCAGAATCGAGCTGGGTTGTGGGTGTCTGAGAATGATTGCTGGTCGGAGGGGAGGCCCAGAGCCCCGCATCCCCCAAGTGCTGACCGGGAGCCTAATGCTTTGCACACGTGTTTCATTAATTCTCAGTCAATAGCCATACTTTTCCTCTCGCATTTATTCCTGATTGTCTTATGATGCCTTGATGTTTGCTCCGGCTGTGAAGAGGTTTCGTTAGAAATACTGCAAACTGTCAATACAACAAAATAATATGTGTGATTTGCTCTTTCTTGCTCAGTAGATCAGTTTCCTGGGGCAACTGTATCAAATGACCACAGACCTAACAGCAAAAACCACAGAAATTCATCCTGTCCCAGCTCTGGAGGCCAGAAGTCTGATACCCAGTGTGAGGCAGGACCCCTGAGACCCAGGGGGGGAACCCCTGAGATCTAGGGGGGGCGGGACCCCTGAGATCCGGGGGGCAGGACACCTGAGATCCGGGGGGCGGGACCCCTGAGACCCAGGGAGGGTGGGACCCCTGAGACCCGGGGGGGCGGGACACCTGAGATCCGGGGGGGCGGGACCCCTGAGACCCAGGGGGGGCGGGACCCCTGAGATCCGGGGGGGCGGAACCCCTGAGATCTAGGGGGGCGGGACACCTGAGATCTAGGGGGGGCGGGACACCTGAGA